AAGTGGGAGGGCCAGCGGTTGTCCTGAGCCGAGTCATTCAGAATCAGAATGTTTATTTGTACCGCAGGAGGAGGAATCTGATGAGCTATGAAGCTCTTTTTTCACAGATGTCCAGTAAGGGGCGCGGGATAAGAAAGTCACAACAACAAACACAGCACACAAACACGACGTGAGTGGACAGTCCAAGAAAGGTAAACGCATCGGCCAAAAACATGCAAAATGAAACTAATCCATCCTCGTCAACTGCAGGGCTTGCGCCCTTCCCATTTGTGTATTGATTTGTGTTGGGCGAGCACCTACGAAGCTGCTGACAACCCGAGTTTGATTCCCAGCCACGACTGACGTCGATGGCGAGCAATGTCAGAACTGGTCCTGGGACCGACCGTTCACCCACTGCACCGGTTCACAAACCGGTGAAGTATGGCCAAACAATCCCAAACAAACAATCCCAATCCCAGACGATCGACACGGCACGAGCGGTGGATAGACAAAGGGCTGTAAAATTATCGTCATCACCAAACCATCATCATCAATAATAATAACAACGGTGGAGGAGTGGTTTTGCCGGTTTTCGTGCCGAGTCACCGACGCGCTTTGACCGTTGTGTCGCGAGCGGCGGCTTGGACGCCGGGAGTCTCGGCGGCCTCCCGGTTCCGCACCGACGAGCGGGTGGCGGTGGCGCTTCCGCTGACAACCGCGCGGTGGACAGCGGCGGAGAAGCCACGGGCGTGCGTGGTTACTCTTCCTTGTTTTGGCATGACAGAGTATTGTTGTTGTTACGACTTGGAGCACGACGGCAGGAAAAGCCCCACGGAGACTCGTGGCTCTTGCGTCAGGAGGGACGTTGTCCGGCAGTTGCCGTGGTAGGGGAGTGACGATTCCTGTGCGTGTTCGGCTTGAGAGATTTTTTGCGTTGGGGGGGGGGGCAGGGGCGGGCAATTTGGACCGCGATGCCGGCACACTCCGGCACACTTCGGCACACTCTGGAACACGTCGGCACACTCCGGCACACTTTGGCACACTCCGGCACACTCCGGCACACTCCGGCATGCTCCGGCACACGCTGGCACACGCCGGAACACTCCAGAACACTCCGGAACATGTCGGCACACTCCGGCACACTCCGGAACGCTCCGGCACGCTCCGGCCCTACTCTTGCGAACGTGTGCCGCGGGATCTCTTTAACACCCGCTGTGAACCAGGGCGGCCGGTCACCTCGCTACTCCCTCCCTCCCTCTCCCTCCCTCTCCCTCTGCTGTTTCCGTCACGCCGTTTCCCGTCGGAATTCCCTCCTCCCGCCATCACCACCGCCATCGTCGCCGCCTCCCGTTCCGTTCACCTCGCTCGCTTCAAGAAACGTGCCGCTCACTCGTCGCCTATTACATTGACGGCGCTCACACTCTGATGGCGCCTTGTCTTTGAGTTGTGCGCCTTTTGGCGGCATCTGGTCCAACACCAACGTGAGACTGTCTCTGGTGTGGACCAATCAATTTCAAGGACAGTGCCACATACATTATCACAGCTATGCTTTTTTGTTTGCATTCTGACCGCAGGGTGTTGTGGTCAATGCGAACATGACTCCTTGTCAAATAAAACGTGTCAGTTTTGTTGCCAGGAAAAAAGGGTAAAAACACGATTATTATTATTGATGGCGCTGTTTGTTTCTGGCCGCTTGACGTCCTGCGCTCTTGGGCCCTGCGCTCCGCGACTGAGTTCACGGAAGAGAACGCCGTCGCGCGTCTTAATCGCTCATCGCTCGCTACCGCTCCCATTTCTGTCTGCTGCTGCTGCTGCTGTGTCGCTCCGCGCTTTTTTATTGTGCTGCTGCTTTGCTTTTGGTCAATTTGGGGGCGCCCCCCGCTGCTTCCTTGCGCGAACGCGACCCTATCCTGGTCCCTTGAGGTCTCGACCCCGGTTTAAAGCGAAATCCGCCTGAGCTTGACGCTGTCCTCCACCGCTCCCGGTGTCTTTAACCGCCGTTGGGCCTTGTGCGCGTGACGCTGTCCGCAGGCGGACGCTCGGAAGCGGTGGCTCGGCACGTCGCGGCACGGGATCACGGTGACCCCCCGAACGGGGGGCCCTCGGGCCTGCCCCCCTTAAAGTCGCACCTGGTATGGACCCCCCCCCCGCCCGCCCGCCCGCCCACCCCCCCCCCCCCCCCCCCCACCATCCCCAACCCCCAAGCCGCCTCTCTCTCAAAACGCTGCGCTCTCAAAACCCTCTGTGCCCGACAGGAGAGATTTGTTATTGGTCGGGTCACGTTCGCCGAGTCGGCAACGCTGAGCACCGGGGGTGCACGTGCCCCCCGTCTCCGTCTCTCGCTGCCGGGCTTCACGGCGTGGCCCTGCCGGAGACGCTGACGCGGCGCCGCTCAGGTCCCGTGTTGGTGCCCCCGGCGGGAAAACCTCGCAGCTCGCACGCTCCTCCTCCACTTACACTCCTCGCCACTCCACCTCCTCACTCCTCCCCCTCCTCGCTCCTCCACCTCCTCTACACTCCTCCTCCTCCTCGCTGCTCCTCCTCACTCCTCCGCGCTTCTCCACGCTCATCCTCTCGCTCCTCCTCTCTCCTCCACCTCTTCCTCCGTGCTCCTCCTCCACCACCGCGTGTTTAAATCCGTCCCGGCAGCGTGAATGCCGCCCGCCGGGGACGGCCACTGCCGTACAGGAATCCACGGCATCCCCCCACCCCACCCCCCGTCCCCACACCCCCCACTCCCCCCACTCCCCCCACACCCCCCACTCCCCCCACACCCCCCACACCCCACCCCCCACTCCCCCACCCCCCGCCGCCACCGCCACGCAAGCCGGCACCTGCCGAGTCCACGAGACCGCCGCTTCAGGCCCCCGTTCCCGCAGGCGCACAATTCGCAGCCGGGGGGGGCGGGGGAGGGGGCGGGTGGTGTAAAGGCGCGGCCCCGCAACTGCTCGCTCGTGCGCCACCGTGGCCGGAAGTGCCGCTGCCGCCGCCGCCACGCAAGGGAGCCCAGGGGCGGCCGCCCAGCGGCCGTGCGGCGTTTTGTGGTCCGCCCTTCCGCCGGGACGTCTCGGGAGAGGGGGGCGGTAGCCCACGCTCTACCCCCCCCGCCTCGCCGGGAGATGGAATGGAGCCGGCGAAGCGAAATCTCGTCGTCGTCGTCGTCAAGCCGAGGAGGTCGATCCTGGACGAAGGCCTCCCCGCGGTCTCCCGCTGATCGTGACGCCCAGGGCTCCGACCCGGCACCGGCGCGCGATCCGGCTCCGTCGCTCCGTCTCCACGGCGACCCCCGGGTGGAGGGGGGGGGGGGGTTGTTTTGCGTTCCGCTCCGTTAGCGGTCACTGCGATGTCCAAACTGAAACTGGAAACTACGGAGTGCTTAAAAAAAAATCGTTTTTAATGGAAAAGGAAGGAATAATACACTGACGTAACAAAAGCGACGTTAATAGCTTCACAAAGTCAAAGAGTCTCCCCACACTTGTTCGCCATCGTTGTCAACGCGTGGCCTGGGAATCTTCTCCAGCGGGTCTCCAGAACCCGGAAGCAGCAGCGCGTGTCACGTGGCGTTGTTGCAAATTCTCACAAAGTGTTCAAACATATTTGAAGCACCCCCGTATACTTTTTATTTTATTTTACCAGGTAAGGCCCACTGAGCTATTTGGCTCTTTTTCAAAAGCAACCTGGCCACACGTGATGGCTCATCGAAGTGGCTTTATCGTCACGTGGAAATTCGCGGAAGACAAATACTCTACACGCGTGGTGACGTCGATTCTAAACGTGGAGGGGGAAAACCGGAGGACGCGGAGACAAATCCACGCGACCACGGGGAGAGAGACGCAGACTTCAAATATACAGCAGCAGGCGTCAGGGTCGCGATCAAACCCACGACCTCCTGTACACCAGGCGAGGTAGTTAACATCTCCTAGCCACCGTGATGATGATGAGAGACACGCAAACTCCAAATATACAGCAGCAGGCGTCAGGGTCGGGATCGAACCCACGACCTCCTGTACACCAGGCGAGGTAGTTAACATCTCCTAGCCACCGTGATGATGATGATGAGAGACACGCAAACTCCAAATATACAGCAGCAGGCATTGTCAGGGTCGGGATCGAACCCACGACCTCCTGTATACCAGGCGAGGTAGTTAACATCTCCTAGCCACCGCAGCGCCCCTCTCCCACGTGAGTTCGTGCGTCCCTCCTGCTCTGTGTCTCCTGGCAGAGGAGTGCCGAGCAACGCTCGGCCTCTTGCGCCTATTTATTTATTTATTTCCCGCCGCCCCCCGGCGCGCGTGGCGACGTCACGGCACGCGTCACGTGACTGCTCCCGCGGTCGCGTGACGCCCTCCCACGCTGCCCCACCCTCGGCATCGTCCACGGGTCGTTTCGGTCGTGGCGGTTGCTTTGACCGTACTTCACCTCGCTGGTCGTTGAAGGTCGGCGGAGGTCGGGGCGCCCGAGCGGCACGGATGTTTGCCGGGCGGTAGCTCTGGCGGCGGCGGCGATGGTGGCTCCAGTGCGGAGGCAGCAGCAGCAGCAGCAGCGAGGATTGGTGGCTCACCACGCAGATGAGCTGTGAAACCCCCTGGCTCGTCAGCAGATGCAGACGCCACTTGTTCCGTGTGTGTGGGATAGAGCGTTGCCCCCTCGCTCTCGCGTGGGTCTTCTCCGGGCACTCCGGTAACCTCGCAGAAGAACCAACACGTTAAACAAAATTTTTTTAATAAGTAACTGGCCAAACATTTCAATGTAGCCAGGACCCTTGTGCACGCACACACACACTCACACACGCACACACGCTGGGCACACACACACACGCTGGGCACACACACACACACACGCACACACACACACACACACGTGCGCACACACACGCTCGTGCGTGCGTGTGCCCAGCGTGGCGCTGCCAACGCGTTCCAAACCCTCCGCCCGATCCGGCAGCTGCCGCCGCGGGAGTTGCGCGACCTCCGACCTCTGCCCTGGCGGTTCTCGCCGCCATCTGCTCTGCTCTTGTCGAGGTGATGGCCACGACGGAGGAGGGGACGGCGGCTCACGCCATCGTCCCCTCCCACTCCTCGCTTTGCCGTCGCGCTCTGCGTCCACCCGCCGGCTCGCAGGCCCGTGACTCGACGAGGCGCGGCATCTCGGTGACCGAGTGTCACATGCTTATTCGAATAATTCGAATAAGCATTTGACGCTTGGTCAAATAATAATAATAATTATTATAATCAACGGTGGCACGGATAGGATGCGTGGATTGCCAAGTGGTCTTTGTCCTGACGTCCCCCGTACCTTCACGTCCCCGTATTTGCGTGTCTCCGTGTCCCCGTGTCCCCGTGTCTCCGTGACCTCGTGTTCCCGTGTCTCCGTGTCCCCGTGTCTCCGTGTCCCCGTGTCCCCGTGTCTCCGTGTCCCCGTGTCCCCGTGTCTCCGTGACCTCGTGACCTCGTGTCTCCGTGACCTCGTGTCTCCGTGACCTCGTGACCTCATGTCCCCGTGTCTCCGTGACCTCGTGACCTCGTGTCTCCGTGACCTCGTGTCTCCGTGACCTCGTGACCTCATGTCCCCGTGTCTCCGTGACCTCGTGACCTCGTGTCTCCGTGACCTCATGTCCACGTGTCCCCGCGCAGGGCGGCGGGGTGTCCCGCGTGACGGAGCACCCCGGCACGGTGACGCGGGTCTCCTGCCCCGCACGCCCCCGCCCGGCGCCGCCTCCCGCCGGCTCCGCCGCTCCCACCGAGTTTCACCACCACCAGCACCGCCACCAGCAGCAGCAGCAGCAGCAGCACCAACCGGGGGTGTCGGCAGCAGCCGCCGGCGCCAAGCGCCAGCACCCGCCCTCCCAGCCCAACGGGCTCCGTGCGGTGCTGCTGCACGGCTCGACGCCGGCGAGGGACGCGCAGGGACGGCGGCGCTGGCGGCGGCGGCGGCGGCGCCGGAACCGGCGCCGCGACCGAGGCGCTGCCGGGCCACGCCGGGACCCCCAGACGGCGCGCCGACGCCTCCGCTAAACCGCCTTCGGCGGAGTCCAAATCGACGTCGGTGCGAGCGCGGAGCGGCGACGGCGGCGACAGGGGCGGCGGCGGCGGCGGCGGCGAGGCCGATGCCGGCAAAGCCCGGCACGCGCGGGCGGCGCTGCCGGGAGCCGGCGCCGCCAACAACGCCGACTCGGCGGGCGCCGGGGCGACGGCGCCCTCGCCGCTGACGCCCGAGCAAGCGCTCAAGCGTTACGGCGGCAAGCTGTCTGCGTACGAGCGCCAGGAGATCCTGTCGTACAACGAGGTCTACTTCGTGTCGGGGGAGTCGCGCCGGCGCGCTACCGCCAACGCTGCTGCCGCCGGCGCCGTTGGCGGCAGCGGCGCCGGCGCCGCTGCCGCCAACGGCGTCGGCAACGGCGGCTTCGACGACGAGCGCGGCTCGTACATCCACGTGCCGCACGACCACGTGGCGTACCGCTACGAGGTCATCAAGGTGCGTGTGTGTGTGTGTCTGTGTGCGTGTGTCTCTGTGTGTGTGTCTCTGTGTGTGTGTCTGTGTGTGTGTGTCTGTGTGTGTATGTCTCTGTGTGTGTGTGTGTCTCTGTGTGTGTGTGTGTCTCTGTGTGTGTGTGTGTGAATGTCTGTGTGTGTGTGTGTGCGTCTCTGTGTGCACATCTCTGTGTGTGTCTCTGTGTGTATGTGTCTGTGTGTGCGTGTCTCTGTGTGTGTGTGTGTGCGTCTCTGTGTGCACGTCTCTGTGTGCGCGTCTCTGTGTGTGTGCGTCTCTGTGTGTGCGCGTCTCTGTGTGTGCGTGTCTCTGTGTGTGCGCGTCTCTGTGTGTGTGTGTGTCTCTGTGTGTGTGTGTCTCTGTGTGTGTCTCTCTGTGTGTGCGTCTCTGTATGTATGTGTCTCTGTGTGTGTGTGTGTCTGTGTGTGCGCGTCTCTGTGTGTGTGTCTGTGTGTGTCTCTGTGTGTGTGTGTCTGTGTGTGTGTGTGTCTCTGTGTGTGTGTGTCTCTCTGTGTGTGTCTCTCTGTGTGTGCGCGTATCTGTGTGTGCGTCAATGCGTGCGCGCGTCTCTGTGTGCGCGTGTCTCTGTGTGCGCGTGTCTCTGTGTGTGCGTGTCTCTGTGTGTGCGTGTCTCTGTGCTCTGTGTGTGTGTCTCTGTGTGTGCTTGTCTGTGTGTGTGTGCGTCTCTGTGTGTGTGTCTCTCTGTGTGCGCGTGTCTCTGTGTGTGCACGTCTCTGTGTGTGCGCGTTTCTGTGTGTGCGTCTCTGTGTGTGCGTGTCTCTGTGTGTGCGTGTCTCTGTGTGTGTGTCTCTGTGTGTGCGCGTTTCTGTGTGTGTTTGTCTCTGTGTGTGTGCGTCTCTCTGTGTGTGCGTCTCTCTGTGTGTGTGCGTCTCTGTGTGTGCGCGTCTCTGTGTGCGCGTGTCTCTGTGTGCGCGTGTCTCTGTGTGTGTGCGTCTCTCTGTGTGTGCGTGTCTGTGTGTGTGTGTGTCTCTCTGTATGTGTGTGTCTCTGTGTGTGCGCGTCTCTGTGTGTGCGTCTCTGTGTGCGCGTGTCTCTGTGTGCGTGCGTCTCTGTGTGCGCGTGTCTCTGTGTGTGCGTTAGTGCAGCGGTCAGCACGCTGCGCCACAAACCCAGCGACCCGAGTTCCAACACCAAGTGACGATTATCTGAACCGGTCCTGGGCCTCCCCTAGGTCGACTCGGCCTCAAATGAGTACCTGGTGTAGCGGTGCGTAGTAAACATCGTCACTGGGGGGGAGACAAAGGCGGCCGCCCACCCCCTCGTGCGCCACTCTAGGGAACTTTCCCCGAAAGTCTGCTGAGGCTACACGGGGAATCTTTGCCTTCTGTGTGCACGGACAGCTGTGCCGGCAGGCGCGGCGTGCCGGGTTGCCGTCCGTGCCGCCGAGACGAGTGAGCGTCGATCGGGGTCCGCGTGCTCGCGGGGGGAGTGGCCCATCGTGTTGGAACTTGAGTGGCATGGCCCTTGCCGCAAACTGAACCCGTTAGGAGCCGCCGGCTTTGTTTTTATTTGACCACCGACCGGTAGGAGCTCTTCTTCAGTAGCCACCTGGCGATCGCAAGCGACGGCCCCGACCAGGTGTCTCGCCCTGTGGAGTTGTACAGCGGCCGAATAGCTCTGCAACGCGTTGACGTTGATCCTCAATGTGGAGGGGTCAAACCGGAGGACCCGAAGAAAAATCTACGCGACCCACGGTGAGAGAGAGAGAGAGAGAGACGCAAACTCCAAATATACAGCAGCAGCAGCAGCAGGCGTCAGGGTCGGGGTCGAACCTGCAACATCCTGCATACCAGGCGAAGTAGTTAACATCTCCTAGCCACCTTGATGATGATGATGATGAGAGAGAGACACGCAAACTCCAAATATACAGCAGCAGCAGGCGTCAGGGGTCGGGATCGAACCCACGACCTCCTGCATACCGGGCGAGGTAGTTAACATCTCCTAGCCACCGTGATGATGATGAGAGACACGTAAACGGTCGTTCACCCTCCCCCCGTTTGCCCGCCCCCCCCGCCCCCGCAGGTGATCGGCAAGGGCAGCTTCGGCCAGGTGGTCAAGTCGCTGGACCACAAGACGCGGCGCTACGTGGCCCTCAAGATGGTGCGCAACGAGAAGCGCTTCCACCGTCAGGCGGAGGAGGAGGTGCGCATCCTGGAGCACCTTCGCTCGCAGGATCGCGACGACGCCATGAACGTGGTGCACCTCCTCGAGCACTTCGTCTTCCGCGGCCACGTCTGCATGACCTTCGAGCTGCTGGGCGCCAACCTCTACGAGCTCATCAAGCGCGGCGGCTTCCGCGGCTTCGAGCCCCCGCTGGTGCGCCGGCTGGCGCACGGCATGCTGCAGTGCCTGGACGGGCTGCACCGCAACCGCATCATCCACTGCGACCTCAAGCCCGAGAACGTGCTGCTGCGGCACAGCTCGACCTCGCCCGCCGGCGGCGCCGGCAGCGCCGGCGCCGGCGCCGCCGCCGCCGCCGGCCACCGCGGCGCCGCCATCAAGGTCATCGACTTCGGCTCGAGCTGCTTCGAGCACCAGCGCGTCTACACCTACATCCAGTCGCGCTTCTACCGCGCGCCCGAGGTGATCATGGGCGCGCGCTACGGCCCCCCCATCGACGTGTGGAGCCTCGGCTGCATCGTCGCCGAGCTGGTGACCGGGCGGCCGCTGTTCGCCGGCGAGGACGAGGGCGACCAGCTGGCCTGCATCATGGAGGTGCTCGGCACGCCGGCGCCGGCGCTGCTCGAGCGCTGCAAGCGCGCGCGCAGCTTCGTCGACTCGCGCGGCCGCCCCCGCTACTGCACCGCGGCGCGCCGCGCCGACGGCTCGGTGGCGCTCGGCGGCGGGAGGTCGCGCCGGGGCCGCGCCCGGGGCCCGCCGGGGTCGCGGGCGCTGGCCGACGCGCTGGGCGGGCGCGCCGACGCCAGGCTCGTCGACTTCCTGCGCCGCTGCGTCGAGTGGGACCCCGATGCCCGGCCCACGCCGAGACAGGCGCTCGGGCACCCGTGGCTGAGGCGGCGGCTGCCCAAGACGCCGGACGGCGCGGCCGAGCGGCCGGCCGGAACGGCGGCGGCGGCGGCGGCGGCGTCGTCGTCGTCGTCGTCGTCGTCGCCCGGGAGGCCGCCGGCGCGGACGGCGGCGGAGGCGGCCCCCGCGCCGGCCGGGAAGGCGAAGGCCGCTCTGGGCCGCTCCGGCGACGGCGCCGCCGGTGCCGGCGCGCGAACCGCGCTGCTGCGCAAGGTGTCCGGCTGAGCGTGGCGAGCGGCGGATCGGAGAAGGGGAGACTGGGTTTTCATTTTAACGGAAGGATCGGATGGATGTTGGGCGGTGAGCGTGCGTGGTGAGCGTGCGTGGTGAGCGTGCGTGGTGAGTGTCCGTGGTGAGCGTGCGTGGTGAGCGTGCGTGGTGAGCGTGCGTGGTGAGCGTGCGGTGAGCGACGCAGCGGCACGATCCTCCCGCGCCCCGGTGAGAGGTGCAGAATCCTCGCGGTGCCGAGTCTCCGCACCGCGCTCCTGGCCTTGACTTTAGGGTCGAGGAAACTTCACGCGCACGTGGGGACTGTCCGAGACTCGGAAAGCGAGAGTCGCGCTACGGGAGTGGTGGTGGTTGTGGTGGTGGTGGTGTTGCTTGTTGCTGTTGTGGCATGGGTCGCATTGTTTATGAAAGAGTGGTGCTGGGGTAGGGAGCTGACGGTGACTTTGTATCGATGAAAAGTTGCATTGGAAGTCAGAGATCAACCGAAATCAATGAGGATCAGTGATGATCACTGCAGATCATCGATGAGCTTGTTTCTGCAATGTGTTGGGTGCAGGATGAATCAGGCAAAAGCTGGGGCTAGAGATGACACGAACCCTGACCCTGACATGAGCCCTGACCCTGACACGAGCCCTGACCCTGACACGAGCCCTGACCCTGACATGAGCCCTGACCCTGACATGAGCCCTGACCCTGACACGAGCCCTGACCCTGACACGAACCCTGACCCTGACACGAACCCTGACCCTGACACGAACCCTGACCCTGACACGAACCCTGACCCTGACACGAGCCCTGACCCTGACACGAACCCTGACCCTGACAAGAGCCCTGACCCTGACACGAGTCTGAGATGCCTTGACCCTTGCGCCAGCCCCCACGATGCACTCGCTCGTGGTTTGGGTGAGGAAGCTGACCCCAACTCTTGAGCCTAAATCCCGACCCTGCCCCGAATCCTCACCTTTGACCCCCTCACTGCCTCGGTCCGTCGCTCACTCTGCGATGTCGCCTTCTCGGGTTGCACCTCCGGCCTTAATCCCACGATGATGCCTTAGTCCAGGATGAGAGTGGGTGGCTGTGAGTGGCTGTGAGTGAATGTGTGTGGTGGTGAGTAGCTGTGAGTGGTTAATTACACTGGTCTACAGCCAAAATGCTTCCGAAATAAATGTAGTCCAACTTTACTAATTCTGGGCCACTGAGAATGAAAATGATGCTTAAAATTGTTGATTGGCTCGAGTCATCAAGATATGCTACTGGGTCAATATATACGACCCTTAACTTGGGAATGGCGGAGTATAAGCGAGTTATAAAGGGGAGGGATCTCAATTTAAACAAGAGATGACTAAAATACATCTTTGGCTGGATATATGAATAAATCCATGACTGGGTTTGGACAATACTTGCTTTTTGAGCAAAACAATGAATGATGAAATCCGAACCCGGTATTGCATCATACATGATATGAATTGCATCATGTTATTCCTAGAAGTCATGGATGATGCAATCATAACTAGGCTTGCATCCATCTGCTCAACAAATTGCCCTGTATCAGCTCTAGAAATCATACAGTGTCGTGCTCTCTTATTTGTCAGTGTTTGATTTTGCAAAGGGACACATTTATGTTTCGCCAAAGTGACCAGAGATGCCTCGTACTTGTGTTAACAAAGCAGATAACCTCTGCTATGTTTGTGTTGAAGTGACTTTTGCGTCACAAAAGCGCGGCATAATCACGATGGTTAAGAAAGCCTATCGCCTTTATTTTGGCTGCAAAATTGGAGATCAGGACAAGATGTGGGCCCCACACACACGCTGCAACACTTGCGCAACAAATCTTCGCCAGTGGTTGAACAGGTGAAAGTAAACCTATGCCTTTTGCAGTGCCAATGATTTGGAGAGAGCCAACGGATCATATCGGCGATTGTTACTTCTGCATGGCGCCTCCAGTTGGGAAAGGTGTGTCAAAGAAGACAAAAGTGGACTGTGCAATATCCAAACATTCCATCAGCTGTACGCCCAGTGACCCACGGAGAAGGACTGCCGCTTCCTGATGCACCAGATTAATTTCTCACTTGATTCAGACGAGGGAGAGGATGAAACTTCTGGTCCTGAATCATCAAGGTCACATGACCCAGATTTTCTCCCATCATCCTCTTCCTCTGAACCACACCTCACAGCACAAGGTGAAGTGAAAGACCTTGTCGGGGATTTGGGACCACCCAAGAGTAAGGAGGCAGAGCCGTTGGGCTCCAGACTGCAGCAGTGGAATCTCCTGGCAGGTGATGTTAGGGTTGCCATGTCCCGTGACCATCAAAAGAATCCTGTCTCATTCTTCTTCATGGAAGGTGATCTTGTAGCCTGCAAATAACATCGATGTTGTGATAGCAGCCCTCAACATCGTTCATGATCCAGATGAGTGGAGACTGTTCATTGATTCATCGAAGATGAGTCTTAAAGCTGTTTTGCTGCATTGATGGCAATGTTTCGCCATCAATTCCAGTTGGTCATGCACTCGCATCTAGAACTGCGGAGCAGCGAGCGACGAGCATGGCGAGCGATGTCACCAGGACATTGCGACGATGGAGAAACGCTCTCGGGGCAAATGGAGCCCATCAGTGCTTGCAGGCTATGGCTGGGCAGTGGCAAGAGATGCTCCTTTTAATGAATACAAGAGACAAGCCAAGAAGCGCCGATTAGACACTGAATAAGGACTAAACTGTGTATTTTTATATTACTTAATAGTTTTTTGCCTTTTGTTTCATGATACATTTTACTTATACGACCATTTTAGCTGTTTTTTTAAAGTGTTATATGAACAGGACAGGTGACATGTTATCATGTAAAGCAACCGTACACACATGAAAAGACCTAGGTTTAGAATTATTGAGTAAAACTCTACAATCTACACAACATACATAGACGCAAAATGTAAAAAAAACGGTAGCCAATCAGTTGCTTTAATTGCCATATTTGAATTTGGCAACATCAAAATCCCTAATAAACGGCACATTTAATATCTGAAGCAGACGACGTCTAAAAAATTGTAGACCAGTGCTATTAATGGTTGTTAGCGATTAGTAATGATTACGTGTGGTTGTGTGTGGTAGTAAGTGGTTGCGTGTAGTAGTAAGTAGTTGCGTGCGGTAGTGAGCGGTTGCGTGCGGTAGTAAGTGGTTGCGTGTGGTAGTAAGCGGTTGCGTGTGGTAGTAAGCGGTTGCGTGTGGTAGTAAGCGGTTGCGTGTGATTGCGTGCGCCGCGTTCTGAGCCACCACTTGCGATGTTGTTGCGTCGCCGTATTTAAGCGACCTCGTTAACTTAACGGTTATATTTTTTTAACTCCATCGCGAACTTGTTGTTAATTCATGCATGCGGCCGGCAAACTTGAGCCCCCCCCCCCCCACACTTCGCCGCCCCCCCCCCCAACCCCCGTAGCTATTCGATGTGAATACCGCACAGGGCTTCGTCTCAAACCGCGGCTCGAAAAATTGCAAATGTGTTTTTATTTTTTTTGTAAAATCGTTCGGTACGATGCACAACGTCGCATATCCGACCTTCGACGGTCGGCGGGATGGGGGACATGGGGGGGGGGGGGGATGAGGTACGGACGGATACGTGAAGAGCCGTCCGCCGGCTCTGCGCCATTTGGGAGTCTTGTGATCGGCAGAGCGAGCGTGGCGGTGGCTACGGACGGACGTCAGTCCACACGATGTCGTGAACCGCGTGCCGCTGTGTGACGGTGGAGAGACGATGTCGATGCTGCTGCTGGTGGTGGTGGTGGTGCAGCTTCTGTTTGGCCGGATAGAGAGTTGGAGTGATGTGGTACAGGAGGACGTGGAGCTGAGTGGACTTGCCGATGACTGGTACCAGCGGTGTCAAGATCGGCCTCTGTTGAGGAGGCTCGTGAAGGATGCTGCTACTGGGCAGTTGGAGGCAGTCGCCCTCCAACAACAACGGAGGGCGGAGGAGCGACGCTCACAACAACGAGCGGAGCGCCGGGTGGCTAAAGCACAGCAATTTGGCACAGTAGGGGGCACAGTAGGGGGCACAGGTGGTGCATCAGCCAGTCATCTCAGTCAGTCGACCCGTGGCACCTGGGTCTGCCCCGTGACCTCCTGCCAGCGGGCGTTCGACACTTCAGTGGCCTTAAAGTGCACATGGCCTGGCACAAGCGTTGTGGTGACGTCACCACCACTTAGTGGCGAATGGCGGTTGTTGGTGCTGATGGTGGTTGGGAGCGGTGGTGTAGCGGTTAGCGCTACGAACCTGGCGACCGGGTTCGATTCCCGCTCACGCCCAACACCGGTGACGATTATCTGAACTTGTCTTGGGCCTCCCCTAGGTAGACTCGGCCTCAAATGAGTACCTGGTGTGATGTGTGAGCATCGCCACTGGAGCCACCCACCCCCTCGTGTGCCGTGCCGGCCTTCATAGGTGCTCGCTAACAGCACTTGCCCCAACAGTCTGTGAAGGCTACACGGGGAATCTTTTTTTTAGTGTTGGTGGTGGGCACAATGGTTAGCGCTACGCTGCGCTACAAACAAGGCGACCCGCGTTCGATTCCCGCTCACGATCAACAACATGGGCGAATATTTTAACCGTTCCTGGGTCTCCCTTAAGTCGACTCAGCCTCAAACGAGTACCTGGTGCGGTGTGTAAACATCGCGACTAGGGAGACAAAGGCGGCCGGGCGTGGTGCTGGCCACCCACCTCCTCGTGTGCCGGCCTTCATAGGTGCTGCTCGCTCACAGCACTTGCCCCAACAGTCTGTTGGGGGCTGTAGATCTTTGGTGGGCGCTCATGTAGCTGCGATGGAGAAGCATCTTCCGGATGATGATGATGATGATGGTCATGATGATGATGGTCATGATGATGATGATGGTCATGATGACGATGATGACTGTGATGATGATGGTCATGATGATGACGACGATGATGATGATGGTCATGATGACGATGATGACTATGATTATGATGGTCATGATGACGACGATGATGATGAT